CGAAGTAGTATCGAATTTAGAACTAATAAGTATGTAATTTCGAAAGAGATCGATTTTAGCATGAAAAAAGTACAAAGATTGAATAGAAAAGATTAAGATGGTTTTGGATGAATTCAAAATTGATTTATATTGATCTTCAACTAAAAAAGTGAGCTAGATCAAATTAAATTAATTTAAATCCATTTTTTTCAGTCTGAATTTATTTTTATTTTTAGGTTTCAATCTAAACCTATTTTTCTCATTCATATTTCATCAGTTTCAACTTTGTGCTGTATTTATTCATTGCACATCATTTTTCATTTTACATCCATATAGCGTATGGTAACCCAATGAAAAAATCAAATACTTTTCAAAATACCATTAACATTATATGATTTCATTGCATATTTCGAGCTCAAAATTTGATCTATATTGACCATTTTCTTGATTTATTATAACTATTTTTGCCGGAAAGCTGATTTACATTGATGATTTTATATGAACTTGTTGCCTCTTTTTGAGCTCAAAAGCTGATTAATTTCGACCGTTTTCTGAATCTGTTAACAGACTTTTGTCAAAATTAAGTTTTAAAATGAATATTTTCTATGATTTCAATGAAAGTTTGCGAAATCAAAATCTTATTTCTATTCAACATTTTCTCGATTTGCTACTTACGTTTTTGTTTAAAACCTAGTTCACAATGATGATTTTTGCTGATTAGTATAGGCTTTATTTTGATTTCTACTTATCTGGCACGTTTTTATTATTTGAGAAATCGAGAAAAAATATTTTACTTATTTTTCTAAATAGCTTGTTCTTGCAATTCTAGCAAAAAAATTTAATTGATTTTATTTGAAATGGACTTTTAAAAAGTAAAGCTAATTTGCTAATGGGTATTTTTGAATGGATTTGAATGGAACTTAGTAGGACTCGGATGAGTTAAAGTAAGATTTGGCTGAATTTTAATTAGTCGAAAAATCCATCAGAATTGTTTAACATAGATTTTTTTAGACTCTCAAATTGATCCAAAATTTTCAAAATGGTCCAAAATTTTCAAAGTCAATTTAACTCAATTTGAAACCATTTTAGTCAGTGCGGGTAGGTACAGAATATATGGATTTGAATGACATAAAAAAAATCTCTTTCAGTCGCATTTTGATTGACTTTCGGGTGGATTTCGGATGGATTTCGGATATTTCCACTATCTAAAAAAACTGTTGAGATTTTCCTTTGCCGAAAACTGCTAGTGCAACGTTCTATATAAAATCAAAGTAGGTTCCAATGATCAGTTTATTTTTGCAGGAAAACAAACTTGGCCGCATGTAAATAACTTTTAAAAAGAGTTTTCAAAAACTGGATATCAAGAAGTTTCTCTATAGTTTGAAAGAAACGTTGCTCGCGAGTTTTCTAAAGTGGTTTTGTATTATATCTAATTGTAAGTAAAAAACTGTAGCAATCGAAGTTTTAGTGGAAAAGTTGTATCATATACTTTGGTTTTCGCGTTAAATTTTTTCTAACGTTTGAGAGTAATCTTGGGTTTATTTTATTATGAATTGAAGAAACCAAAAATTTAAAAAAAACTATCTGCCTATATTTTATCTGCATTTTGTCTAAAACTGCCGCAAATTCTTAAAAGTTGTTTTTTGAAACATTTAAAAAAATCATAATTTTGTTGATTTCAAGGCTCTCGTTTTTGTGTTGGCATTTTTATTTTGTTGTCTGGCTTAAAAACTCTCTACTGTGATTGCCTCTTTTCTAAATTTTTTTTTTTTTTGCTTAGAATTTTTTTAAAAAAATTTTAAATTCCTTCTTTTGAACCAATGAACTAACTTCCCGTAAATCATCAGCGGGAGATTAATCACTTAGTTAAAAAAAGATTTTTAACCAATTAGACTTGAGCATAGAACATGCAAGCCTTAAGGCTTGAGTTTGCCCTTTAATTTTAGGAGGATTGTTCACATGGGCCATTTTTTAATCGGTCTTGTTTTGAAAATCTTTCTGTTCAGCTTATTGCTGATGAATTAACCTTGAGTTTTTCAAGAAGCTGCTCAGATTTGCTTTTTAATGCGAATTTTAGTACTTTTAAGTTATTTTCCGGTTACATAATTTCTGTTTATGCCAAAACAAGTGTTAAGTTTTGCTTGCAGTTGCAGTAATTTTGCAGTTTTAATCAAATACGATTAACACATAACCAGATCTGGCAAGCATGTGATCAGATATGTCACATACACGTGGTCAGATCTGGCAGACTTGTGTTCAGATCAAGTTCCCCAGTGTTCTCGAAATGTTGGAAATGTTGCAAGACGTCTTGCATAAGAACATTATTCTTGCTTTTTCTTGCAAAATTCTTGCAAGATTTGTGCAAGAAATAAGCAAGATTTTGCAGTCTAATCTAAAATTTGATCTATTTGCTCACCGCTTCATTGTTTGGTATGCTCACTGTTTTTAAAATTCCTAATCATATTGTTGGATTACATTCCCCAAAACCAAACAAAACCTGAAGAAATTGCCCGAATGCAGGCGAAACCAAGGTTTCTAAAGGAAAAAACTTCATTTTTTGAAAAACTTCAAAAAAAGTTAATGATCAAAAAATTTCGATTACTGATGAGAAAATTTTTACTCCTTATTAACCCAAATATGAAAGTGCAAACTGCAAAAAATCTGAAAATTTGCAAATTTAGAAGTTTGCATGAAACGCATAATTTAATAAACATCAGTGAAAGTCTACCTGGCTGGGTGAATGCAAGTTTTGCAAGATTCTTACAAGATTTGCATTCCTTTGCAAGAATATTGCAAAGATTGCTTTCTAAGTGCACCAGAAATGGACGTATTGTCTGTGTTTTGTCCGTTGATAGAAGAAATGCTTTCAAAATAACTTTTTTGAAAATATGCGAAACCGAATAAAGTCAACAAAATACTGGGGAATTTAATTCAATATCATCTTTCATTTTATCTATGTTATGTCATTATGCGCTTTTCTAGGAAATTATTTAATCAATATACGAAAATTCTTTTATCAAAAAAGCCAGATATCTTCGATTTAATGATTTTAAAATCAATAGTTATTGCGCGTTTTTCATTTTTTCTACAGTAATTATGTAGTGAAAACTAAAAACTCTCGTATCAGCGCAGATATTTTGTTCCGACTTTCGAAAAATTTTGGACTATTTTTTCATAGGGTTTTTTTTCTTCTTCAGTCAAACTGCAACAATCAAAATAAACGTTTACCCAATATTTTTTTCTATCTTTCAGTGAAGATATCGAGTTCCCGAGTTCAAATGTGAGAAGATAACTTACTTTCGACGATCACTATATTTTTGAAGTCTCGGGGTTTTAAAATTGCAAAACTAGACACGCTCTGACCTACTTTATGCGCGCTGTGATAATTTTAGTTATGAGGCTGAAGAGGCAATATATGATGCACTACAAAATTGTTTTAAAGTGAATTCGTCGTACAATTTTGAACAACTCAAGTTTTCAGAATGGTTATTTGACATTTTCCTTGAGACTTTTTAGTATTTTCATACCAACATCAAATGATAATGATTAAAGGGTAGTCTGAAAGTTCAGGACTTTGCACTGATATACAAGCAGTCTAATTGAACATATATTCTTCATCACGCAATCTACCGAAATCTTTCCGATAATTGTTTTTTCGTTGTTCTCTCAAACAAACTGTTGTGTTTATTTAAAAACCCGGGTTGATACAAGATGCTGCTAGTTCATCTCAAACATAAATCCAGTTTTCAATGTTCTGACTATTGAAAAGGGGAGGAGTTTTGTAACTCTTATTTTAGTTTTTTTCCCACCCAAAGTCAGGTATCAAAAAAATTATTGGAATGCATTGAGTAGTATATCATTTGAAAGCTATTTTAGTGGTGATTCGAACTTTGTTTTAAAATTTCAAAAAAGTTTATAGTACCAAGAAAGGCCGTTTTAAATTTTTTGAGTTTTGATCCAATTTCGAGCGAGTAAAGCGATCAAGTAACGTCCGTTATTTGAAAATTTTATTTTTTATTTAGTCTTTTAGTGTAACCAAATTTGATTTTATTGAAAACAAACCAAATTTTGCCGGCGCTTCTTTGGCAAATGAGCTTTTAAAAAAACGTTGACTTTTTTCCTAAAAAAAATGAAAAAATTAGAAAAAAGTTTTTTTTTAATTAAGTTTCTACGCGTTTGTAAAGTTATCTCATCACACCACGCACCAAAATTGCTACAACACTAACTTGAAGAAAAAAACTTATAATCTCATCGAAAAATTGTTTTGTTCTGTGCGTTGCATTAGTTAAAATGTTTTTACAAGCCCTAGCTATACCACAAGAAACACGAACAGATAGTTGCAGTGTTTCTAGCAGCCAAATATTTGACAGCTGTAGTTTGGGTAAAGCAATTAGAAAAAGCAAAAGAATTGAAAAACTTCGAATCAGTTTTTTCAATTTTTTTTTCTTCAAATTTTATTTACAACTGAATGGGCTTCAACAGGATACTGCTTTGATAATAAGAAGTCATTTGTTTTGTTTGACAATTTTTCTCTAGTGTTATCTGCTTGCAAAAAATACTTTAGCCTGTCTTAGTTCTCTCCCACTGGTCGGAACAAAAACGACAAATAATTCAATAAAACTTACAACTTTTTTCCCGTTTTCTTTTTAAAATCATAATTGTCAAAGCTACTGCGATCGTAGTTTCAACATTTTGTACTACTTGTGCTGCAACCGGCAATAATTGTTTCACTTTTAAAATGCTTACGGCCAAACCCCGACCACCCATCACCCCCGCCCCCACTTAATTTCCCCCTAAATCCGCTACTACCATTTATTGAAGCTATTTCCATTAGTTCTATATGAATATCCAATTTACTTAATACTTAAGTTAGTTTCCTGTGTCTTTACGTTAGGTCAAGTCACTCTGATAAAATTGCATCTATTTTCAATCTGATATTTACAACCCAAAAATGACCAACGTAGTTTTTCAATGCGAAAACTTTTACATTTTTGATAACTTGCTAACTTGGATTGTTTCAGACCTTTCCGAGAACTTTGACGACCAGTCCGTCGAAATGACAAAATGGGTTTGCCCTGGCCGTTATTTCTACATCGGGTGCGCCATTGTCGGTTGCGGTATCATTTATTCGAAATCGTGGCCGGCCGAAAAGTTGGTTTTAAACTTTTGCTCTGCTCTTGGATACGCTTTTCTATCATTTTGGGGACATACGATTCTGCAACATTTCGATGTTGCGATGTGGTTCGCGATTCTGACAATCGCCAATGTCGGCATACTTTGTTATCGGCTTCACGATTCGTTCGATGCTTTGAAAGCGCCTAGTGTGAATACGATGCCGCTTTACGAGATGTTGTTTGCGCCTATGAACGTGGATTTCAAGACGTTCAAGGAACTGATGGCTTGCAGCAATGGACTTCAAACCATAGAGGCTAATGACCTTTTTGCGGCTGAAGGTCAGAGAAATGCGGGAGCAGAGCTGTCTGTTCTGCTCAGTGGCAAGTGAGTCATTCGCAAGTCAAAATCACTTGTCGCGATTTTTGTTTTATCTCATTTTTTTGTCAAAATCACTTTGTTTTATCAAAGTTTTTGTTTTATTTCATTTTTCTGTCAAAATCACTTCGTTTTGTCAAAGTTTTTGTTTTATTTCATTTTTCTGTCAAAATCACTTCGTTTTGACAAAGGTTTTGTTTTATTTCATTTTTCTACATCAAACTATTTGTCCAACTTATGTCAAAAAATTTTTAACAACTAAATGCATTATCTCGATACCTGAAAAAAAAATGGTATGACAATCTTTTCGGGAAGCTTTATTTAAGGATAGGTTTCAGCAGTAGGAATTTGCTTTTTAAGGGAGTTGATTCAAAAGATGACAAAAATGGGCATGTTTTTTAACCCAAAATTAGAAACTTTTTTTATTACACACTGTTATAGAAAAACTATTTGAATGATGAGATAGTTCCAAAAATGTGAAACAGTTCCAAACACAGTTTTACATCATCCCTCTAATGACTTTCAATACATAACCAGTAGTTATACGTTGTTGATGGTCGGAGGCTGCCTGCTATTAGCTATCCTAATACATTGAAAACCTATTTTCTATCTTAATACATAGCCTGCTGGCCTGATGTCTTTAGCGTATCTTAATACATGAGGATAAATGGAGGGTTGCATCGTGTTTAGACTAGTGGCTACACAGAATGAACAGACCCTGCACTCTATCATGCCGGGTCAGTTCATGGACTCGCCCGAGTGGGAGGCATACGACCCTGAGACCAAGCGCACCTTCAGGGTAAATATATATGCATATGTGTAATTAATCCCAAATGACGGTAGTATTATTTTCTGTGACCGGTCATTTCCACCCTGAAACTATTCCCTGTATTTCGATTTGATATACATTATCAAACATAAGGGAAGTTATACTATTGGCCCTATTATTCGCTTTGATATACACAGTAGGGCGCCGAGGGGGTTGGGGGGTTGGCTATGACCGCTTTCCGTTTTCCGCCTTCAATTCTGGTTGCCAAAATTTTCCAAAGGGTCCCCCTCCCCCCTCACGGATTCGACCCGCTGCCGACCCAAAGGGTCCCCCCTTTGGTACTTTTTAAGAAATCCATTTTTGACCGATTCTAAAGTTTTTCAAAAGGCGCCTTTGGCGCCAGTATATACTAACTTTTTTTTTTTGGGGGGGGGGGGCTAAAAAAACGCAATTTTTTTGTCAAAACTTTCCAAAGTGCCCAAAAACGGCTTTTTTGACCTGTTTTTTCAAAATTTGCCTGCGGCGCAGAAAGTTTGGCCAAAACAGCATTTTTCTCGTGCTTTAGGAGAGCTCAGAAAATCGATTTGGTCGACCTAAAAAAAAGGTCGACAAATTTTTCGAAAATTTTTGAAAATCCGCCCCCCCCCCCCCCTCGAGAAAATCCTAGATCCGCCCCTGCCTAGGGTTCTTATAGTATTTTCGGAGAGCTCGGAAAATCAAATTGGTCGACCTAAAAAAAGGTCGGCAAAATTGTCTAAATTTTTCGAAAAACCGCCCCTCCCCCCCCCCCTTAGAAAAAATTCTGCACACGCCACTGGATATGCACCAATAACACTACAATGGAATCGGGCGGAAATGACTAGAGCAGAAATTACTGTGTTTTTGGGGCGAAAATGACTAGGAGTCACTCCTTTCGACATTTCGTAACAGGCAATTTGGTCCGCAATTTGTATGAATCATATGGGAAGCCTTAAAAAATTCAAGCGCTTTTTAACCGAGCTATTTGGAAATCCTCGAGTTCTCCAGGTTTTTTTTGGTGAACAGTCAAAAGTTGTCCAGAAAACAGAAAATTATGATGAAAAGAAGGTTTACGACAAAATAAACTCAGTTTTTGCCAGCAGGTTCGAGAGGAATATTGACATCGAATATAATGAGCAACAAAAAAAAACCTCAAGACTCCCTGGATATCCATAAGTTATAGCGTAGATTTTGTTGCAATACAAAATCACCAACTTCAACAAACCCCCCCCCCATCCCAAACCCTCCCCTCCATCCCAAACCCTCCCCTCCATCCCAAACCCCCACCCCCCCCCCCCCATCCCAAACCCCCCCCCCCATCACGCCATCATCAATTCCATAGCCCTATACCCCCACCCTGGTCGACACACCCGCGTTTTTATTATTGCTCATTGTTTTTGACATTAATATCTAGTCAAAAATTAAGGTCACCATAATCGCGGAAGTGGACAGCACTTACGTCACTTGGAGGAGATCGAACATGGAGAAATTGATGAAGAAGAACAAGTATCTGACTCACATGATGAACCTGATCATAGGCAGAGACATCGCATACAAGCTCTACAACACCCACAGCTCCATATGGTCACCCTTGTCATCCCAGAACTCATCCCGAAACAACAACAACAACAACAACAACACCAACAACACCAGCAACAACAATAACAACAACAATAGTAGTCATAACAACAATAACATAAACTCATCAGTGGCTATAACGTCTACTTCTTATTCCAACGGAGGTCTTCGGTCCTCACCTGTGATTTGCGGAAGCAGTTTTCTGGCCGAAGAGAGCTTGGACGAAACTATGTTTACGTTTGCGTCAAGCGATCACAAACAAAGTGAAGTTTGATCAATCGGATGATTAATCCTTACATAAATTGAAGTAAATTTTCACTGAAAAACTTTATATATTAATAATTAACGGATATTTAATTTTTTTTCTAAAGTTCAATAAATCTAGATATATATTTACATAAGAATGTCTAACTTGAGAGGAACAAGTTTTAATTGGCTGCTTAACAGCTAGGACACAGTTTAAACTGGAATAAACTTCTCTGAGAAAATACTTATGAAAACATATATTTTTTTGAAAGTTCTCTCTATGCCAAGAAAAATGAGCAAAAATCTTACTTTATTCATTCTATGTTTGCAACACCATTTTTACAGGCTATTTTTATTTCGATAATGATCACTTCACGAAGTGGAAAAATTTATTGCGCAGGATTTGTTTTGTCCAATCGATTTTGACCACCTGGAAAAAATCTCGTACGGGAGAAGTGTCGTATCAAAATCCAGCTCTATTGGCTGTGCTTCGAATTCTAAAACAAGCTCGGGAATGTTGTCTAGCTGCTGAAAAAATACAAGTCGGAAAATTTGGCTTTTCAGATCGAAATTAGTCTGAAAATCCAAATAGTTCGAGGTGCTCTTTTAGTTTTTCGTTCGCTCTTTCCTTAAAAAATGTGAACACATTTAAATATTTTTTTGAATATTTCTGCATTTTTTGAATAAAAGACATCACGTTTTTCATATCAAGCATCAGCCGTCACTTCCAGGATTACCCGGGTTGACGTCCATAGAAGAAAAATGCTTACCATACAGTTTCATATATGAAGTGTATGGAAAAAATGCTTATTATACAAATTTCATACAAAATTTAAAAAGTTTTTTAAGTGTTTTTAATGAACGTTTTTGGTCTATCTGCCTCTTTTGTAGCTTTCTGGTCATTAGAAAAATGATTTAAGCTTTTTGATAAAAAAATGCTTATCGTACAATTTTCATGTAAGAAAATTATAAGATAATCATTTTGTGATTGATTTTTTTTTCAAAAATAACGAAAAAACGTGCCTGGATAACTGTAAAAAACTTTTTTAATAATTATATCTAAGATAGAAGGGATTTTGACAATCAAAAAATTTAATTTCGGTCGGAAAAAATGCTTATCATATAATTTTCAGGCATGAAAATTGTATGATATGCATTTTTTGATAAGCAAAAACACAAATTTGGGGTAAAAAATTTTTAATTCCTTTTTTTGTTGCGAACTTGCTTTTGTGCTCAAATATAAATTTTTGCGAGAGAAAACTTTGACTTTTTGTGTTTATAACGTAGTCCAGGATGAGTTTTTCACCCAAAAAAAATCCAAAAATCACAGAAAAAAAAGTGTTTTTTTTTGTAAACACAATTATGATTTTTTTGTTTCATTTGCTAAGATAAAAATCAATTTGTAAAAAAAACAGGCCTTTTTTCTCAACGACCAAAGTTTTCAAACCAAAAATTATCTAGCCACATACAAAAATTTACATTTGTACTGTATAATTTCATGTGAAAAGTCACCAAATGCAGTTTATCTGCGTGATAACTGCCAGTTACACTCTGGGTTTTTTTATGAAAAAAATCCAGAGTTAGTGTTTTGGATGAAAAACAAAGTTTCAAAACAAATATTTTTTGGTCTTTTTATTTTTGGAAAAATTCTTATCATACAATTTCATAGTCTGGAAAAAAATGCTTATTTTGCTATTTTCATACACTAACTTTTACTCTATAAAATTGTATGAAAAAAGTATGACAAGCATTTTTTTCCTTCATGAAAATTGCATGACAAGCATGTTGTTGTCAACCCGGATAATGCACAGAAATCTGATATGGATTTCATTTCCTTGTGAAGCAGGTACGTGCATATTTTCTTAAATATATAATTATTGTTCCGTTTCGTCCGTTCTCGAAAATTGGAAAAAAGTTATCAATTTAGGGTCGGCAATCAAAAAACATTTTGGTGAAAAGGAGACAACAAAAGTTTAGGGGGAACCAAAGTTGCTTCCCTCGTCACTCTACTGCTTACTCAGAATATAAACTGAAACAGAGTTTTTCTTTCAAAATTATGATAAAAAAACGAAGAGACCGAGAGAAACCAATAGTTTTACCACCACAATTTACCACCACTATCCTTTTCATTTTTTCCTAGTGATCTTTTTTTTGGAAAAAACTAAGATTTGATTTTTAAACTTGATAATAATAAGTATTGACGGCAACGGTTATATTTTTTCTTCGTTTGAAAAAATCGTTTGTTATAGCTATAAGTGAAAAAAATGATCTCTTCAATAAATTTTTCTCCACCCACAATAATCAAAACACGCATTTTTTTTGAGGATGGCTCAGGCATATCATGATATGCTGAAGTTGATCAAAAGAAGCTGAAATTTTAAAACACTGAAAAAGTTATTCCGTCAAATCGATCCATGTCAATAACTTTTCTGTAAACTTATAATCAAAGGTTCTTCAAAATAAAAAAAAACAACTACGTAGTTTTTTAAATGTTTTTTTTCTTAAAAAACAAAAAATATTAACTTGTGTATCATATAAAAACAAACTCCTGTGAATGAATTTCATTGAAGAAGATTATACAATGAACAAAATTTTTAAGAAAACTCACCTGACACTAGATACATAATTTTTTTGAAATCATTGGATAAATAAAACTTTTGCCTTAAACAGAACATTCCAGTCAGAAGGTTTTGATGACGATTAAAAAAAAACTATATCAAAATAACTAAAATCGAAGTGAATGAAAAACCGTTTACGCAAGCGAAAGTTGGCTGTGTTGTTTTTGTCACTCGTCTGCTAGCTTTACCCACTTTGTTAGCCTCAGCCGTAGAAGCAAAGAAAAACCTTCAAAAATTTTAGTCTTGAGTTTGAGCAAGAAACATGCAACATTAACGTTCAAAAATCTAAATAATGTTCAGCGGACTGAGAAAAAAACTTGATAGGTGAGCAATCGTATGCAGCCCACTCTAGCACAGCGTGGTATAATTTTTTAAGCTTGAGCAATATGCCAGGCTATATCCAATAACGCTTAAAAAAGGAAGAGACAAAATATTCTCCTGTTAAGTAGCCTGAAAACTTTTTGCTAGCTTAAAATAACGCTTGTAAATGCTCCTTCAAACTGTGGCCAAAAAAATCCCGGATGGGCATGTCCCCAATCGGTAGCTTTTGGCCAAAGTTCGAAGGAGCATTTACAGCGTTATTTTAAGCTAGCAAAAGTTTTCAGGCTACTTAACAGCAGAATATTTTGTCTATTCTTTTTTTAAGCATTTTTGATTATAGCCTTCTGATTCTCAAACAAAACCTTCAGGCTACAGTTTTTTTTATAGAATACAGGCTTTCTCATAGAATAATTTTGGATATGGTACACCGTCTTTTTGTCACGCTATCGTATTTTCGACCGGATAGGTTCGAGCAACTTCTTAGTCTTATACCAATCCTAATCTTACTCTGATATCTCCCAGTCTCAATAGATCCAGTGTACACTGGTATTGTTGCGAGTTAAAGAATCAAGAAGGAGAACTAAGAAAGAACAACTGTTTGCTAAATTAAGTTTATTCCTGTGGCTGAAACTATAAATACTTTCAGCCTTACAATTTATCGTAAGTTTTAAACATTAGTCGTGATTGGTTAGCTCTAAGTGTTTCACAGAAGTATTTTATCAAGAATATAATTGGATATAATCAATACTTGTTTTAAACTGGTTCCACCAAATCGGATTTAGAGAGTTTGAGTACATTCTTAAAAGGAGTGAAGAGAGAGGAGAAATAGTTGCTCGTGTTATGAAATATTTGTTTTGTAGAGAGAGAAGAAAAACAGTTGCCCGTGAGGGAACAGACAACGTAGTTGAGTTGAGTGATCGTGCCAAAGAAAGTTGAAGATTGATATAGCGTCGTGTCGATTTCGTTAAACAGAGCGAGACTACGTGCATTCTCAGCTATCCTTCGAATAGCAAGATAGGAGTTGACTTCTCTGAGTGAAGCGCCAAATGACTAAAAATCGTATTTCTGAGTTCAATATCGAATTGGCCATTATTCTGATTCAATGAGTACTTTCGTTGCAATGTTGGCTTCATGCTGTATAACCTGTGTGTTTTGTGACTGCGGCAAGAAAAACCAATAGATTTGCCAGTTCAGAGTCGGAATGTTCTCGAGTTTTCATCTCCCTTTTGCTGCTCGTGCTCGTTTCTTTGCTCGAGAATTTTTTTGTTATAAAAAATTATGTAAATACAAAAACACTATTTTTAAGTGTATATATAAATATATGTATATATAAATTTGTATATATATATACGCACAAAAATTTATATATATATATATATATATATATATATATATATATATATCTGCACCTCACCTAAAAAGTGATTTCAGTTTTAGTTATGGTCTTCGTTAATTGTTTTCTAAAAAGCGTTTTTATTAGTTCGGTTATTTTATAGAGTTGCTCACCCTAGAAGCACTCTCGGTAAAAAATGAGGGTCGGGGTTTTAGCACATGGCGAGTACGGGTACTTCGTGTGACGTCGTTCTGACAGGTGAGTCCAGAGGGGTGCGTTCTTTTATTGTCTTTTTGAGCAGTGGCTCTTTTCGTGTTTAACCTTTTTTTGTTCTTTTTCGTCAGTTGTTTCCTTTTTTGTTCTGTGTTCTGTGGTTATGTCCTGTTTTCAACAAATTGTCATTTGTTTCTGTGGTTTTTTTTTAGTGTGTGTTACGTTTCAAGTGTTCCTAATAAAACTTTAATCCGGGGTTGAAAAGAAAAATTTATTCAGTTTAAAACTGGGTTTGATCTGGTTTGGGTACCATGAGACTTCTCATACATGCGGTTGATTTTTTGCCCTTAAAAAGCTGCGTTGGATTTGCCCTTAAAAAGCCGCCTAAAATTGCTTCCAACCGGGTTGAGAGAAAGTTTGAAAACGGTTGAAAGCAAGTTGAAGTTCTTATCATTTAGGTTGTCAGTTACATTTCAATTTTTTAAATAAATTCATTTCTTAAACAATCCTTTCAGTGGCGAGCTGTTTTAAGTTAAGTAGAAGGCATGCAAAAAACGTGGACAAGTCAAACAAAAAATTTAAAAATTACAAAACTGAGCACACACATAAGAGGTTAGTGTTTTTGT